GATTAAGATAGGTAAGTAACTTATTAAATTTGATTTATTATCAGTTAAAAAAAAAAAACAATACATGTGTTTTAACTTGCAGCCATATAAATATTTATCGTTAAAAATTTGCTTGGCAAAAAACAGGTATGGGGTTATTAACATCTAGCTTGTCTTATCTTGTCGCAAGTACATTCGAGTGAAGAACTTTTACTACCGAATGGGCATTATTCCCAGGGCTACGCACATAATATTCGCTCGGCTTAATTATCTTTACTTTGATCGGATCAGACTGCTATATTATATGGTTGTCATAGGAACAATATAACGGTCGAGTTTCCAGAATCTCAGAGACATAATAAATATTTGGCCCTCATAATTTTGGATATATGATTAAAAAAGCATGTCTCCAAATCGATTTGTGTCGATATTATTAAAACAGGAGAAGGTACAATACTTCGAGACTCAGGTTCTTGTAGTTTCCGGACTTGGCTAGAGCGACACAGTTTATCGATCTGATCAAGAAGATCGTGTCGAACATGCTTCCGCCTGTAATTATTCTACTCACTTTCTGTACTGGGTATAAAAATGGACCAGGAAATATAGTTAAAGCTATTGATCTTATTTTTATGGACTCGCAAAAGCGCATGTCATAGAGTTAGAGTTCCCTTCAGTTATTTGAAAAGTCAGCCTAAATAAAAGCCGGTCAAAGTGAATGTACAATTAAACAGAAAACGAATTTACGTAGATATGTTTGTATCTGTATCTAAATTGAAGTGTGATGTATCTATGTGTGCGTGTGTGTGTGTGTGTAGCCGGGCTTGGCTATTGTGCAAGAGAGGAGAGCACACGCTGAGCTGTTGCTGGCAAAGAGATTGAAACTGGAATTGGAATTGGAACTGGAATTGAATGAGAGCGCAGAGAAATTGTGAGTACGCTGCGAGCTGCAGATACTTGAAATGTCTGCGGATCAGTTGGACTCAGGCAGAGTGAGTCGACGGATTGACTGGATTGGGCTCTGTTTCTATTCAAATTATTCGAAATATGAATTTGCGGAATTTACTTGGATTCGTGCTGGCTTGGCTGCTTCTGGGCGGCGGCTCTTGTTCCACAAATGCGCCACAAAATGTGCTGCTCCTCGTGGCCGATGACGCCGGCTTCGAGATGGGCGCCTATCTGAACAAGTACTGCCAGACACCGAATTTGGATGCGTTGGCACGCAACGGATTGCTGTTCAACAACGCGTTTAGCTCGGTGAGTAGCTGCAGTCCCAGTCGCGCTCAGCTGCTGACCGGGCAGGCGAGCCATGCGAGCGGCATGTACGGGCTGCATCAGGGCGTGCACAACTTTAATGTGCTGCCCGAGGTGAGTTCGCTGCCGAATGTGCTGCGGGCGCAGAGCGAGGGACGCATCTTGAGCGGCATTATTGGCAAGAAGCATGTGGGCGCCGGCTCCAACTTTCGCTTTGACTTTGAGCAGACGGAGGAGCAGCATTCGATCAACCAGATCGGACGCAACATAACTAAAATCAAGGAATATGCACGAGAGTTTCTGGCACGGGCCAAGAGCGAGGCGAGACCCTTCTTTTTGTTGGTCGGCTTCCATGATCCGCATCGCTGTGGACACATTACGCCGCAGTACGGCGAGTTTTGCGAGCGCTGGGGCAGCGGGGAGGAGGGCATGGGCACGATACCCGACTGGAAGCCCATCTACTATGACTGGCGCAATTTGGAGGTGCCCGCCTGGTTGCCCGACACGGATGTGGTGCGACAGGAGCTGGCCGCGCAGTACATGACCATCTCGCGCTTGGATCAGGGCGTGGGATTGTTGCTGCACGAGCTGCAGGCAGCGGGATTGGCGAAGGAAACTCTTGTAATCTACACCTCGGACAATGGGCCACCTTTCCCGGGTGGACGCACAAATCTTTACGAGCATGGTATTCGCGCGCCGCTGATCCTCAGCTCGCCGCAGCCGGACGCACGCCGTCGTGAGACAAGCGCCGCCATGGCCAGTCTCCTGGACATATATCCCAGCGTCTTGGATGCCTTCCAGCTGCCGCCGCCCAATGGAACTCGCGTCAGCGGCCAGTCGCTGTTGCCCGTGCTGCACAAGGAACCGGAGCCAGTGGAAAGCGACGCGATCTTCGGTAGTCAGAACTACCACGAGGTGACCATGGCCTATCCCATGCGCATGGTGCGCAACCGACGCTACAAGCTCATCCACAATCTCAACTACTGGGCAGATTTCCCGATCGATCAGGATTTCTACACATCGCCCACATTCCAGCAGATACTCAATGCAACCATCCAGAGGCAGCCGCTGCCCTGGTATCGCACGCTCCGGCAGTATTACCAGCGGCCCGAATGGGAGCTGTACGACATCAAGGCGGACACCTTGGAGCGGATCAATCTGGTGGACAAGCCCAAGTATAGCGCCACCCTGAAGCAGTTGCGCCAGAAGCTCTTCAAGTGGCAGGCAGAGACCGCGGATCCCTGGCGCTGTGCCCCGCACGCTGTGCTGCAGGATCGGGGCGTTTTCAAGCAGGACCCCGTGTGCTTGACCCTAGGTCACGAGGCGCTGCAAAGGCCCCAACGTAGGCTGCTCACGCAGTACGAGGAATATCTTGTGGTCTAGCTGAGATTAGGGGTATTCGATAAGATCAAGTATTCTATGAATGTTCCAAGTATATGCTCATTTTCTTATTTTTTGTATTTTGTCTTATCTCATTCGAACTAAAAATAAACTTTTGGTGCTGATAAGCCGGACGCCACATACCTATATCAAATATCAAATTGTTTTACATTTATTAGTCATTCGCGTACTAGATCGACGGGCCAATGATAAGCTATATTGTTCGATAATTCTGATATTATTGGAAGGTATATTTTTTTATGAAGTCTAGAGAGCCTTAAACTTATTTCAAATGAATTCGCTAAAAACAGGAAATTATAAATTGTAAGGACGACTTTAGAATCTTCAGAAACAAAGATAAATATAAAGTAGAGCACAATATTTTGTTTTTCTAGAGTTGCCAAACAATGTTTCCATATAAAAACCTTTTTGAAATATTTTCCTTAAAGAGCTATTCGATATATAGGAAGAGAGAGCTGTTCGACATTGAAAGAATTTACTCTTAGTAGAACTATTAAGAACCAAGATCTCTTGAATCGCAAAAAAAAATATTATATGGCAGCTTTAAGACGTAGTGCTTCGATATCGATAGGATTTTGCTCCAGCTTAAGACAAATATTACAAATAAAGAGTAAAGAACTTGTTCAAGTTTTTCGTTTTCATAAGAGAACACAATTTTGGAGCGAATGTTCCTAAAGCAGCTTATGATATAGTTTCCCGATTCGTTCATTTCCCTGGAAATAAGAACCTATACATACTTTTATGATAAAAGCTTCGAACATGAGAGATTAATTGCTGAAAAATATTTGATGCAGAATCTTAAAGTAGCATTAAAGTTAAATCGCTAGAAAATGCGTCTTTAAACATAATTAAACTACACAATTTCACAAATATAATACACGTACAATTTTTTTGCCTATTTCAAAATAAAGAAGACTTAAAAATTGTTAAGCTTTCGCAATATCAATTTCGCAACTATATTTAGAAATTGTTCTATCTGTGGGCTGGTCAACATTAAAGTTCGCACCCCATTCAAGATGAATTTGTCCACACATAAAAGGTTTCCCCGGCGATGTTGGCATGACCTCAACGGATGATGTTGTGCGCAGGGGGTGTTGCGTCACGTTTCAATGCCATTCCGACTGGGGGTTAGCTTGGATTTGGGCCCAACGTCTGACCCATTGTGTTTTGTGGAAAATCGAAAATTTCAATGCCTCGCTTCTTAGTTAGTTGGCGCCGTCGTCGTCGTCATCGTCCCGTTCCCGTGCAGCATCCGCGTCAATGTTACGCAACATGCACATAAAGACCTCGGAACTGGGCCTGGGCCAAGGCCAAAGCGGTTGACTAAGGGGAAAAGGGCCGGTGGATTGGGGGTTGCTTGCTTTGGGGTAAACATGCAAATAACAAAATGCAAATTGAGTTTTTCTCTGTTTTTTTTTTTTTTATGATTTTGAACGAAAGACACATTGAAAATTAAATGTATTCAATTTTTGTTTTTGTTTTTTTTTTTGCATAAATTAGGGCTTCTGTTTTTAGCGTAATTATTATATATAATTTGTTGTATTATTTGTATGTAGGTATGTATATATTATTTTATATATATATATTTATTTATTCCACCACACAAATGCACAATTACAATTATTATTGTTTTACTCTTTCCATCATGAATGCATCAATAAAACATTCGCCGCCGCGGTCTGAGCCAAATTGTCTATTGGGGGCCGCCGCCTGGAAATGTTCGGCAAATGTCGCGAGTTTTATTTTCGCTTTCGTAAATTTAAATTTTGTTTGCTCATTAACTAATTTATTATCAGTAAATATATATAATTGTGTATACTTTTGCCTATATACATTCGTGTATGCATGTATATCGCTTGGTATTCAACAATCTAGATGCTTGACTCTTCTGCTTTTGGATACATTTATATATATATATATATTATATATTCTTCTAAGCATTTATTGTTAGTAAACTCTTTTTTGCTTTTGGTTAGTAATTCGTTTCTGCTATGCTTCGACTGACTTGACTGGTTTTGAGTTGCCGCTTATTTTAACAGTTATTATCAACGTTTTAATATCAGTAATTATTTTTCTCAAATTTTAACTAGTTAGATGCTGGTTTTGCTTTTAGGAGGATTCTGTTACGTTGTTCATTACTTTGCCGTTATTATTATTATAAATATAGTTATTGTTATTATTTGTATTAACGCTGCTGCTCGGTATAAGTTATAATAAATATATAATAATAAATATACATGTAGATAATATGCTTAATAAATATATATCTATATATATGTATATATATATATTTGATTTTTATAATAGTTATGTATATAAATAACAAAAAAACAACACACATAAAAAGGAGCAAAAAAGTAGGATACAAATTTTGTTTTGTTACATCCTTGAATTTGAATAGATTTTTTTATCGAAAAATTTTACAACGAACGAACGAACGATTAAGACAGATTTCCTTTCAGTTAATATGCCGCCTTAAGGATAAGAGTGTGGGGAGTATTGTTTTTGCACAAATATCTGAGTAAAGGGTATACAATAATTGTAGGTATATGATTTGGGTATACTATATAGAAATTGCCTAGAGAGCGCAATGGAAAATTAAGAAATTACAACAATGAACAATGAACGAGAAAGCAGAAAAATCTCAACATATCTATGTAAGTGTATGTAATATGGATAACTAGCTGATTAATATGTTGGATTGACATGTTACCAAATTATGTTTTCTCTTTTCTTTTTTTTTTTTTGTCTGCAGAATCGAATTCAAAGTAGACGCGATTGCAGACATTCTTGAATTGGAAACGCATGGAAAGTACTATGTTAATTTAGTAACATTGTAAATTTAGTTAGTAGTACATACATAATTTAATTATAATTAATAATTTGTAATTATTGTGTTGCCAACTGGTAAGATTTCGCATTAAATTTTGTTTGCTATCGTATATTTTTTTTGTTTGTTTTTGTTTTGCATTTGCATTTACTGTTTCAATTAATTTTGTATGGCCACGTGAATGTGCTGTGCTAGCTAAGCCGTAACCGTAACTCTAACCATATTAATCCGCATTTAACCATCTACGTAATGTATGTTTTTGCATTTAAGCAATGTGCCAAGCTGCACGCCGCATGACGACGACGAAACCAACAATCATTCAGTTGAAATATTCTCAATACATGGGGGTTTTAATTGCCATTGGGCAGAGGAACCTGCACCTGGACATATGACTGAGGGAAGTAGCCGGTTCGGCCATTGACGGCACCTTCGTACCAATTATCGTCGACGCGATTGAGTAGCGTGATAATGTCGTTCTCCTTGAAGCCCAGTTCGCCGGGATTCTCTGGATCAAAATCGTATAGGGCCTGGCAGCAGGGCTGCTGCTGGCGATTTGGTGTGACGGCCATTGACTTGGCGGGCGAGCGCATCGGCGAGGGCAACGGCGAGGCGCTCGAGCTAATGTGGGACGGCGTGCCGTCATCAATGAGGCCGCCGCCACCGCCGTCCAAGTTCAGATCGAGCAGCGTCTTGGGCACAAACTCATTGCGTGGCCGGCTCTCTGCCTCGGCGCGCTTCTCCTGTAGCGTTTCCTGCAGGCCACGCAGCACATCGGCGCATTGAGAGTGAAAATCGTAGAGTGCTTCAGCGAAGGTCACGAGTTGTGAGACATGTTCAGTATCGTTCTCCAATAGATTGAACATGCCCACTTGGGCCAATTGCAGTGACTCGGCAAACTTATCCTCAGCACCACGAATTTCATCATCTTTGGCCTGCCGACGACGCTTACAGTCAAAGTCGAGACGCCGGCCCTGCAGCTTCTTTCGATGGTGCATGACCTCCTTTAGGTCTTTGGTCTGCATATGATGCAGAGGCTCCAAAAAGTTCTGCTTGATGTTGTCGTCCAGCGAATACTTGACGTCGGCCATTTGTTTCAGCGCTTCGCCAAATTCGACGAGCGCCTGCGCGAACACGCTGTTGTCCTCGCCGAGCTTCTTACCATAAGTCAACATGCACTCGGCCAGCAGACCCTCGGGCTGTGGATAAGTATTCGATTTCGCCTGTCCCGATAGCTTCGATATGCCCTTGACGGCGGCCATCTTAGCCCGTGCCGTTGGATTTGGCTGCAGAAACTCCTTGGTCTTCAGCTGCAGCTCCTCCACCAGCTCCACGGTCACATCCGTCTTACGTTCCATATCCATAAAGTCCAAATCCAATTTGGTGCCCTCCGCACCGCCCATTTTCTCCGTCACATACTGATTCGCTTTGTTGATCTGTTTCTTCAATCCGGCGAAAGCCATCGTGCTGCCTTTACTGTTGATGTTTCTGCCTTTGCTGGTGCTCTATGTGGGGCTTGATGTCAACGACGCGGTTGCTGTGAACGGGTTTGAGTTAGTTGACTTGCCAGTTAAAATGCTTCAATTTAATTAATAAACCACTGACTATCGGTAAATAATAAACTTTAATTTGATTTCTCTGCCCAACTATGCGCTACGATTCTATTTTTAACGTCTGGACAACTTACGCGCCGTGCACTTTTCTGTTTGGGGGTGGAAACGTTCGATTCTCGATGCTGGGCGCTATTGGGGCGGGGGGTGCTGACACTGACTGAGGCTGCGACTGGAAGAAATTGTGGTAAACGACAGTCGGAATAGATTTATGTATTAATTTTGCACTTTCACTCGTTTCGTTTGCGCTGCACGTTCTGTGTGGTATATCTTCACTTGCAGCGTTGACACTTCTTCTGTTTTTTTTTTTTTTTTTATTTCTCTGCTGGCCAAACCTTGGAGTTTTGTCCGACGATTGGCTGCGTAATGTTTGAAGGACTGTCGTTACTACTACTAATCTCCCTCTGCCTTGTCGATGGTTTTTTGGACGCGGGGGTCGTTTTTCCTCTTCGTACTAAATCGATTTTTTGCTGTGTACAAAAATTTTAGTGATGCAAAAAACATCGATACCGATACCTTGCACTAGCTACTCACTTTGCGTTTACAGAATGATACCATGTTAACTAACAGTGCCATTCTAGTTTAACAGGCATGCAATAAATAAATAAATTGTCAACCGACATTTCATTTGAAACTGAAGGCAGACAAACAAGATAAAAACACAAATATATGTATAGTGAAGCTTAATTAAATTTTGGGTTACCGATTTTCGTGTAACTTAGGGAATTAAAAAGGCGACTTGCCTCGATAATTTGATAATGCATTTTTTTTATTTGCCATTTGCATCACATCTTAGGCTGCGCGCCTTAAACAGAATATTCAAATATTCTGTTAATCACGTTCGCCGCTTTAAACTTACACCCGTTGTTCTGTAAGTTGCCGATAGCGCCACCTTGGAAACGGAAAAGTGCAAAAGTTTTCCCAAAAGCCGTTTAGGGCTTTCGTAAAAACAGTTTCATGTAAATGCAAGTTTGAAAATGATTAGCTACTTATATGGCACATAAATATTTTAAAGATAAATTCGCGAGTGTTACTTTTGTTTAAATGAAATGAGGACGCTAGACAATAATTATCAAAACAGCTGTTAAAATTTAAATTTCTGAAAGCCAAATGTTAAGTTAACAGAGCAGCCAATCGCACCATAAAAACGTATAATATTTTATAATTTGTTTGTGTTGTTTATCAGTTTGTATGTATATCTGATTTGATTAGATTCTGGATATATCAACATTAAACACAAATAAAAACAATTTTATCAAAAATAAGATAAAATTGACATACAATATTTTTGGTTTCTTTTAAATTTTGTACATGAATTATATGTATTTCATTCATTATTTGTATTTGTTGTTCAAAATCAAATAATTAACTTTACTTTTGGTAAATTTCGCAATGTTTGCGCAATTCTTAATTAATTTTTGCTGCAAAACAATTCTTAATATCTTGTTGACATTTGGGTATAGTAAAATTATGAATCATTTGCTAATTGCTGCAAAATAAACTCATTTCCAAGGTGGCGCATTTTTAACTTCTTTAAATAACTTACAAAACCAATATTAGTATAAGCTTTTGAAGTAAATGAGTATAAAATAAAAATGTATTAGTAAAATCGAGGAGGGAAATTATTGATGTAATTTTTAACAAATATATACCTGACGTCTTTTGGTGAGTCGGCAGTTTTTGGCGAACCGCTCAGTTTTATCTTTATAAATAAACCCTAGAGGGGATTAGGCTACAACATTTGATAAACAAACATTAGAGCATGTAAATCAGTTCAATTTCCAGAGCGAGACGACGCGCTGATAACAAACGCAAATTGTGCATACTTATGTGTATATAAGCCCATTCCAATGCCTGACCAGATATTAGTCTCTCCGAAACTACAACGACTGAGATCCACACTCAGAAGAAAACGAAATCGAATCGCCTTAGAATGAAATTCGCAATTGTCGTACTCGTCGCCAGCATTGCCTGCATCAACGCACAGGTGGTAAGTACTCGTCACACCTGTTTGGCCTTAATCTAACTGACATATTTCTTGCAGGCCATTAGTCCTTTTGCGGCAGCCAATCCCTTTGCCGCAGCCTATAATCCGTATCTGAATGGAGTTTTCGGTGGAGGAGCTGTTGGCCCTGCAGGAGCTGCCGCTCCCGCTGCGCCCGCTGCTCCGGCAGCGGCAGCGCCTTTTGGCGGCTTCTCCGTCTCCGCCTTCTTCCAGTCCATAGTGCTGCAAAAGGAGGCAGATCGTCTGCTCAATCAGCCCGACTTCCCAGCTGACCTGGCCGAGCGTGTCGAGAACGTGCTAGCCGATGCTGCACTAGGTTTTGCCAACTGCACCAACGCCACGTTGCCTTGGCTGCAAATCCGCTGCGTCAAGCCCGCCCTGACCAACGCCAAGAACGAGCTGAAGCTCATCGATGATGAGTGGCAGGCACGTCAAGCGGCCAGCACCACAGCAGCACCAGCAGCAGGCGGTGCTCAGGCCTAAGACACCATGTAATGGGTTATCCTATAAAAAAAAACAAAAACTAAGTGCAATATACCAGCATAGATTCGATATACTTAAATAAAGATTTTGAAAGCAAACTAAGCTACAAGTGGACATCATTGGGATGGGCTGGAGCTGTGTCCTTGACCTGTCAGGCTAGAGCACGCTTTGATGTGGCCAGTTGCCGAGTTGCTCAACTGTTTTGCATAGCTGGACTTTATTAAATTTCCAGCTATTACGAAATTTACCAGAGCTTTCAAATACTTTTGCCGCCGTCGCATCCCCAATTGGGGGTGTTAATGTTGTGGAGCTGTCCTCGAAAGGACTTGACGCATTTTGGCCAAATATTTGAATTCCTTCACATTATTTGTTCGCCTTTGCGGCATTTTCTCTCTGTCCCAGCCTTTTGCTCTTTGCGAAAATATTTGGCCATGCCGCTTTTCGATGCCAGCTCTTTTATGGATTCATCAATTTTGCCTTGGCCATCATGTCCTGCCCCAAAATGTTTCCGGTGCATGATTTTGGGCGGCAATTGTTGATTTATGTGGCCAATGCAGTTTCAATTATCATTGTTCCTAGTCGTGTCGTGTCCTTGCAGTACCTAGCTGCCCATTGTGACTGGGCACATGGATTTGGGGCATTAAGGAGATTAAATGGTTTGGCTTAACGAGCCAAAGATTTGCCGCAAATGGCCAAAAGCTTTGGTCCCTGGCAGATTGAGCCAAATGACGCATACGCCTCGTTGACGTTCCAAATGCGGCAAAGCACATTCAAATTCAAATTCAAATATGTAATTAAATGTAAATTTTGAAACAGCCGCTGGCCATGTCACACACACACACACACCCACACATTTATATGTATAGGATGACAAGGCGAATTACAAGGATCAAGGCGAGTGCAAAGTTTTGTCACTTAATTGAAATATTTGCCCCAAGATTGAAACTTGCGTTCTGTTGTTTGTGTCATTACAACACAAATATGTCAGTGTGTGTGTGTGTGTGTGGCATGAACTTTGCTAAGTTCTGTTGTACAGCCAGCCACGCCCATGCACCGCCCATTTCCGGGGCCGCCCCGCCCTGCTGCTAATGCAAAAGTTGCCGCTTTTCGGGCGCTTAAAAGAAGCGTACCAAATAAAAGCCGGCCAAATATATGCTAAAATTGGTTAGCAAAACAAAAAAAAAAAAAATAAAATAAATAAAAGAGAAACATGACAGCGAGCAAGTCCATAGGCGCATGTATGTAAATTTGTTTTCGGGCTTGCAAAAGTTGCGCCCCAAAAAGCAGGCAACAGTTTTTTTTTGGCGGCCTGGCCAGGACGAGGCGCGCCTGGTTACCTCTAGTTGTCATTCTGGTCAAAACGAAGTTAGCCATTAAATGTATGTTGCCTGGCGACTGACCAATGCGGCTGTGACTCACATCCGCTTGGGCACATTTGTGTGTGTGCTTTTCTCACCTGATAATAAAGCTGTTATATTTACCTGTTAGATATATGCATGCGCGATTAGCTACTTGTTGTATTATTTCCGCTGCCCGCTGATAAGCAATTATATCTGGGTGTAAATTCTTACACGACCATAAAAACTTAATTGGGTTAAAGCTGTTGACAACGTTGCGGCCTCAGTTGCCAGCGCATCTTTACAATCGGCCTTAGCACACGTTGTCTTTATCTATATATAACAGATGCCATCTGCGACTTTGAGAGTTGCTTTCCAGACAGTTGCCAATGAAACGCACACAGAATATGTCGACTGCCACGCTGCTAGTGATCTCGGTTTTGGTCTGCCTGGTAAGCATTGCATTCGTAGTGTTCCACAGCAATGTACAGCATTCCGTTTGCCACGACAGGTGCACGCCCAGAAGGTGGAGGTGCCCATCGAGGAGACGCTGCAGCGCGGCGCAATAGCCATGGAGACGCTGCGCAGGGCACTCGACGAGAAGCTGCCGCCTAGTGCAGAGGCTCATCAGGAGGGCTCAGAGATCTTGGCCAGCTTTCAGCAGAGCCTAAAGACTTGCGAGGCGCAGCTAAGGAAAAACCAGTTGGTCTCAGAGTACAATACGTGTGTCGGCACGTTTCAGGGCTTGGCCCTGGCCTCGATTGGCGAACTGGCGGGCCAGCACTGGGCCAAATCAGGCGCATCACGTCCAACTCTCTTCTGGTAAGGATGTGGCGCAACATGTAATGGAAGTGAAGTGCCGGAGGTTATAAATAAATGCCCAATCGAGCGATTGGCCACGTTGCAGCATTTCTCTTTACTGGGCTTCGGGTGCAGGCATTTCTGCAGTTGGCGCAGTTTGGCTGACTGTTCGAGCTTGAGATGATGTGTAACCAAAAGATGAGAGCCATCGAGTCGAGTAGCATTGTCAGAATCAGCACTTGGCGGCTGGATCTGATGAACTTTTGCCCAAATTGCTGACGGGCTAAAATTTTAGCTCTGCTTGCTGCTTTGTTGTATTCTAATTAGACCGTCGGCTGTGTGTGTGGGTGTGTGAGTGTGTGCGTGCTCATTAGACCAAAAGTGCGGGATGCGTTGGCTTGGGGACGTGGGGGGGAGCGGACCGTGTGCCGAATGTAACTGAGTAATTATCATCATTAAACGCCAGACGAGGCAGCCAAAGCAAATAGCGACATCCACGTCGTCGAAATGTGTGCCAAGGCAGATGAAACAAGCGGGAATTGAAGGCGTGGAACTGGCAGCGGGCGTGGGCCCAAGACTCAAGACTCAAGATTCAAGAGTCAGCCCTTAATTTAAGTGGGCGCCTTAGCCTTGATAAGCTCTCATAATTTAAGACGTCGCAATTCTGTAAATAAATACACATATGTGCAAAGTAAATTTCGTCAATTCGCTGCGCTTAAAAATTATTAATTAATGCGCTTATGGAATATGTTCTTTAATTAAAGAAACGTTCACTCTTTTCTTACATTTTTGTATCATGAATTGATAGTTGCAATAATCCTTCTTTTTTTTTTGACATTTTTGCGCCTTTTAAAGACATTTGCTAAAGAATAATTTGTAAGTTGCCTAGGCCTTTGATTCTGCCTCCGAAGTAGTTTCTGTGTCCGCAGCAGGTGCATCTGGCTTGGGTTCATCTGTGTTGCCGAGAACGCAGATGGGGCACTGTAAATAAATTCCATAATTCAATGTAGCCAATGTGCTCAAATTTGAAACTAATCAGGGACAGATACCTTTTCCTTAAGCACCAGTCGGTACTTGGGATGGCTTATGCAAATAAATAACGAAATAGTTGATGTTCAGTTAATACTTGCGCTGGGCTTACCTAATGCCATAGACAATGGGATTGTAGACGGCGCTGGTCTTGGCGAATGTGGCGCCCCAAATGGTGGTCAGCGGTGTCAAGCCCTCGATCTTGAACAGGCCAAAGTAACAGATGACCAGATACGGCGACCAGGCCATAAACCACAGTGAAATGGTAGTCAATGCCACCTGAGCAAGCAAATATAACTTTTTAAACTGATTACAGAGAAAGTTCTCATAGCCAGACACAGGCAATCGAATTACTTGAATCGGGTTATGGCAGTGTTAGAAATAAGTTAATATTAAATTATTTAAATTATTTAAAATGTATCAAATATCTTGTTCTGGCACGCAGCTAAGCAACAAAATCGTTCCTCAACATTTGTGTCAAAAGTTTAACTATCAATTTCATTGGCATCTACACAAATATGAATAGGAGCTGATGGGAAGCCCTATATGTTGGCCTGTCCGCTTATCAGAGATGTTTTCAACATTTTTTAAAATTCAATTATCAGAGCGTCCTGCTATAGGAATTGCATTGTGTGTGATAAATGTTACGAAAACCTCGTCCGGTTATGAGAACTATCCGCAGAGGCAGCTTATACTGTATTCACTGTATTACCTTGGCTAGTTTGCCCTCGGCGCTCTTGTCGCAGTCCTCGGAGCTGCGCAAGGACTTGACATTCATCTTCTTGGCCTGTTCCCGCATGCCCTTCTCGTGCGCAGCGACGGCCTGCAAGGCAGGGTATTAGACAAGCAGGAAGAAACACATGATTTTCTTACTTACAGCAATTATAAACCAGTAGGAATAGCATATTAGAAATAGTGGCACATAGTAAACGAATATTGAGTAGACTATTAGATAGGAGCGCGGATTCCACTGCCTGGTCATGTAGTCGATGCTGCAGGCGGTCAAATTGCCCTCGGGCACATAGCTGCTCCAGCCGATCAGGGGCATTATGGTCCAAAACGTGGCCATTAGCCAAATGAACAGAATCTTCATGATGGCCAGCTTGATTGTCATGGGCGTTCCGTTGATGCCCTTGACAATGACATTGTAACGATCGAAGGCGATCATGCACATCGACCAAATGGAAACGCAGCCGAACATCGAGCCGCAGACCGCGTAAATGTCGCACCACAGTGGCCCCAGGATCCACGTTTCATAGTAGAAGTTGACGAGCATTACCGGCGACTGGGAGGCCATCATGCAAAAGTCGGAGAAGGCCAGATTCAAGACGAGCAGATTTGCGGGCGTGCGCAACGACTTGGTGCCGCCAAAGATGTAGACAACAACTCCGTTGCCACAGCAGGAGATGATCAGGATGACAAGCGTGAACAGACCCAGAATTTTGCTCATTGTCGGATCCATGGGCGCAAAACGGCTCCAATAAGGATTCACGAGGTGCGCCATGTCCGGCAGCACCTGCAAATTGAATTAGATAAAAAAGGGCCAGCTTTTGTTTAGCCTAATCCATAAATTCCATTTCGGGATTAATGGCTTAATGAAAATAAACTCGATCTTATCGTGGACTAGCAGATCCAACCTTGGAAATCTTTAGCTCAGAGAAACGGACAGACAGATATGGCTAAATAGATTGGACTCTTGATGCTGACATATAACATATATTTTATTATTTAAATTTATTTTTGCATTAATTTGAGTGTGCAGTTTGAAATGATTAAATTGTCGATAAATTAGACCAAGGATCACCAGCAGCTATTTGGCTTTTCAATTTTATTCGTTTATATTCAATATACTTTTAATTTGCAATAATCTAAAGACTTGTGCCGCGTGCAAATTAATAAATTCAGTTTCAAGTCAATAATGTTAATAATTTAATGTACATCTGAATTATGACCGAAATTGATGTAAGTCCTACAGTATAAAGATTTATATTCTGCTATGCTAAAAAAACATATATAAAATATATTTTATACTGTTTAGTTTTTGCTAAGCACTCCAGAGCACACACACACAGCACAAACTCACGTTGTCCAGCACGGAGCCATTTTGGCCCGCCTGGGCCTCAAATCTTGGTCCAAGTCCAGAGCCCGATATGGCAACGGCGAACGTCTTCTCCATGCTCAGCTACCCGTCCGTGAATCGATGGCGCACATCAAGGGGTTGCCAACTAACAGAGCTGAAGCCGCCATGGTACAGTGGCTTTTATAGGCGAGCATTTGAGCCAATTAGGCGCAGATCGATGGAATGGGCACAGGTACAACGAGCAGCTGTCATATCAAAGTCATCTGTGATTTTATTTAATAATCAACGTTTGAGCTGTAGCTTTAAAATTTGTGCACAAGTCTTTTGGGTTTTGTTTAACATTTTGTCATCTGCTGTGCGTGTCTGTGTGTGTGTGTGTGTGTGTGTGTGTGCTCAGAGCTTGGCTAAGAACTTCTGGCCACATTTCTGGCAAAGTTTCTTTTTATTCGACATGGGCGCACTGATTGAGCACACCGAGCACGGTTCGATTAAAGAGGACTTTGAGGGATATTGCTGGCCATCGGCATTCATGGAATCGGGACTCTCACTGGAGTCTCTATGCGGATTTATAGTCTCATACACCTGCTCGTTATCGTCATCTGTGCTGGGCAAATCATAGCGCACAATGCTCACCTGTTCGCCAAGTATAAGCTGCTTGCAGCACTCCTTGATTTGGTAGTACGCATTCCTGAAGGCTTTCAGTTTACGTGCCTAAGCGCGATGTTAAACGATTAGAGATAGTTAAGCCTAGTTAATTCTAGTCAACTTACCGGTGATAGGTCAATAACCGATACGGTCTTGCCATTCTTGCCATACGAGCCCAGCATCAGCACATTCGAGGTATTGGAAATATGATTGGCATCTGCCCAGAGCAGCAACTCCTTGTATATATGCTCGTTCATAGTTATGATGTAGTCAAAATAGTAAAAGTCCTGGACAGTTAGCTGCCAAATAATGGGGCTTTATATTAAATGCAGCATTTGTTGTTGTTTAGATTTACCAGTCGGCAAAAGTGATCCGAGCGCAGTCCGTGCTCCCTCAGCACGCGTAGACATCGCTTGTGCGGCCGTCTGCCAATGTTCCAGGTACGTAATGCAGCACTATCGACCTCCCAGTAAAGACTGGTCTTCACCATTAGATTCTGCATGATCGTCTCTGCCATTGGCGAGCTGCACGAGTTGCCTGCAGAGGAGGTGGACGATGGAACTTGGGTGGGGCTTTATTTAAATACTCACCCATGCATACGAAGAGAAGTTTCTTAAACGTCATTATATGTCTTTTTATTTATTACGGAGAATTTGGGAAAAGGACTAGTAGTAGGATAAATACACTTTCACAGTGCAATAGTTAATATGTGTGTGAATAATTTTTGCTTATTTCGTTCCAATTGTAACATTTGTCAAAAGTCTACTGAGTCGACATTCGGTCAGTTCACACGTTATCAACTCGTTGGCCGTGTCAACAATTTCAAATTAACACAAATGAGCCGTGTCCCAGTTAATGTACGACAAGAAACCAAGCGCGACCTTAGACATGACCCGCCTCATGAACTCTGCTCTGCCCAGCATTATTCTCGCACCAAATTGCACACTTCATTTTCTATGATTCCTATGAGTGTGCACGCGTGTGTGTGGGTGCACGTGTGTGTATGTGAGTGCACTTCTGTGCCTGTTGCTGCCATTCTCACTGGGCTGTCCTTTGGGCTCTCTGCAACTCCACTTCGTCGTTGAATTAAGCGCACAGTGTGCCGAAACCATGGAATTACCACTCAAAATTAAGAAAGAAAACTCTCCTATTTGGCGAACACCTCTTTTGCGCGGACATTTTCTGTCTATGTACTAGGTACATCGAGGAGCTCCTTCGCTCCCATCCCAGTCCACGAGCAGACCACGACAGGGTTTAAAGCACAAATCAACAGAATAAAAACGTTTCGCTTTATAGCCTTAACCTTATACCCTATTAAGTAAGTCTTATGTTTACCATTTAAACATTCTAAAGAATTATCGATCAGATCGGGTTGAGGACACGGTGCAAGTCGGCGATTAAGTTGCGATTCGCCTTCTGTGTTGACTTGGCAAATGTTTGCACCACGCCCACTTGCCACCCCATTCGTGTTGGCCGTGTTGCAAAGTCAAAGGCATTAAAAATATCGGACTGGCAGCTGGGCGGGTCGCTGCACAAAGAGTGTCAAGTGCTGGGTGAGGTGTCCGCGTCGCGACGTGAGCCTGATTCTAAATTGGCTCCCTGGAGGTGGGGGGAGGGCGCAGAGCCGGCGAGTTCAGCGAACTGGACCGGCACCGTGGCCCACATATGCAAATTCAGTGCGCGGTAGTCTATTTTCCCGTGCGAATACTGTAATGATAGACTGTGCCAGGTGCGCATGCTACTGCCTGAATTTCTGTGCATACAAATCATACAAAGGCTTTTGATACGATTTTATTATTTTTATTTCTAGCCACATAAGACCATTATTAAGAGACGACTGCCGACTGTCGACATTTTCAGCATGTTTCCCCTTTTAACCAACTTTACAAGCGACTGCGGCAGGCAACTATTTGCCCATTGCCAATATTCAATTGGAATTGCATTGAGCGGCTAAATTGAAAACTGAAAAGCATATTTCACTTATCACTTTTCACACAAAACACGGCCAGGCACAGGGCGGCGAGTCCGGCGGAGGGGCATTGGCCAAAAGCGAAAACGTACAAAACGAGTGATATGAAATTGTAAAAAGTAAAACACTGCAACAACAACAACAACAACAACAACAGCGAATTTCTGGCTGGCAATACAATAATAGTATATGTAGCCGAGTGTGTGTGCGGCTTTGGCTGTGAGTCGATTTGTGGATAGGTAAAAGGGATTCTCTGAGTGGGGCAACACATTGTTGCTTTAATTAAAAACCCAGCCAGGACTATTGCCCCAACAAAAAGAAAAAAAAAATGGAAAAAAAGAGAAACCAAAGTGAGAATCCAGAGAGCATTAGATAGACCAGGAGATGGAAAGAAAACTGTTGAATATTTAGTTCATGATGGAAAAGTTGGAAAAAAAACAAACTAAAAATTATTGAGCACAAAAATGTCTAAGCCGCACATAAAGACGCGGAAATGTGAAACCAGCTGCCGTGTGTGGGTGTGCGTCTGTGTGTGTGTGTGGGAAAATGTAGCTCAAATGCTGTGCACACACACACAGAGGGGGGAGGGGCAGGTTGGTAGTTGGCACAAAGCCGCACCTAATGGCAATTTAAATGAAACAAACAGCAAAATGAAAATGAAAACGAGAAATAGAAACAGAAATCAACGAAAAATTACAAACAAACAACACAAAATGAAGGCCCGGCGTGTTGTACGTGTTGTTGTTGTTGTTGTTGCTGCTGCTGATGTTGTTGTTGCTGCTGCTGTTGTTGCACTTTGTTGACCGCAAATGCAATTTACAGCACAACAATCAGCGGCAAAGGCAAAAAGCAGAAGAACGTAATAAAAACAAAACTTTGCTGTTGTTGCTGCTGTTGTTGCTGCTGTTGTTGCTGCTGTTGTTGCTGCTGTTGCTGCTGCTGTTGCTGTTGTTGGTTCAACATCAACAACTGTTTTGCCATCAGCAGTGAAAAACAGCGCAGCCAGCAACTGCATTAACTGACCAGGCGGATCGGCGGGGTGGGGCAGGGATAGCGGCAGGAGCAGGGCTTCGGCTCGAATTGTGTTGAATGCTGTAGCAAAGGCAGTCAAAGCATCATAGTTTTGGCCACACACGCACACAGTCGCTAGCCAACACTCATACACTCACACACAGTCACACCCACAATTAGAGGCAATGCCAGCCACAGCGAACAAAGGCTAAAGAGGGGGGTTGCCGCTGATTGAGGTGCCACGTATTTTTGGGTTTGCGTTTTAAATTAAATTAGCTGGAAGCGTAAGCGTGTTTGTGGGTGTGTGTGTGTGTGTATGTGAATGAGTCTGGCAAATCCGACTGCTGCTCCTTTTACTGCCAGAATTCTCCTCGCCCCTACAGCATACGCTTTGCTCATTCACTTTTCGTGCAATTCTAAATAAACAGCATCATAACGTTTTTATTTGGATTCGCACAGGTATGAGAAATGAATTAAAATGCATATGTTGTTGCACTGAGGGTGGCAAAACAACATCCAACTACAGCTTCACATACATAGATTCATAAATATTTATGATCTCGCCTGCATGCGAGACTCTGTCACCAGAGGCCACAGTTGGCCAGAGTTGGCCGGAGTTGGTGGGCAGCTTTATGTGTTGGTTAGCTGCCATGATTGAATTGACCATTTCCACCTGGCTGGCTGGCTGGTTGGTTGGTTGGTTGGCTGGTTGGCTGGTGCACAATTGTGCCAGTGCCTTGCTGGCAAATACTAACAGTCATTGCCTCGGCGTCGGCGTGTCAGTGTCAGGTGAAGTGATAGCAGGATATAAATGAGCCAATTTTGTTGGCTTGTCATTCGGCACTAGGTGAATGTGTTGCCGACTCTTTAGATTCGCATCATTAATGAATAATGAGCGCACGAGCTAAGCCAAATACAAGAAAAACTTTGCAAATTAGTGGCAGACTAGAATACACTCTCTAACTAAAGCTATCTGATTGATTGGAATATGAAGATGTTAAAATGTGTATTTAATTATACGCATATTTTGATAAAATTATATATTATTTATTTAAAGTCGACAAAAACGAGTGTCTTTCTAATTCTTCAATGCACTAAATTATAAAAATGAAAATTGGAGGCAACATTATGGACTCATCCTGAGGGTCGACAATGCGCTCGTAATGCATTACTGATTTTGGCCAAGTTATAATGCCCAGTGTCAGGGCATGCGCCAGGCAGGCCAGCATGACTAAGGACAGGCTGGCCTGTTCATCAATATGGCAAACATTGGCTCGAGCTGCTGAGATTGCCGAATGCCGAATGCGATTTGCTGTGGCCGATAATGCCGCACGTAACGGCAATTCAGTAAATGATGATGCAATGACTGCCGCAGTTGGCTTTTGGGGTCGAGGCACGAAAGTGGCACGTTCCAGACGCTAGTCAATCGCTTGCCACATCTCGTTGCGCCTCGTTTTTGGGGCCCAGCTAGTCAGCTCGTAAGTCATTTAACATTTTGAGGTATTTAATGAGCCAAAAACTTTTTGCCGCACATAAATTAAAAGACGAACCGGCGCGCTGGTTTGAGGCCAGGTGCCGGCTGACCAACAATCCACTGGCGACTACTCGACAAGCCAACGGCTCTATTAGCATGCCCATTAAAATTAGACAAATGTTTGCCATTTGGTTCTGCTGTTGCCTTTGTTGTTGCCACTGCCGTTTCGCATATCCGCAAGTTTGGGCCAGGCTGCAGATTTATGGCCCACTAAGTGGGCAATGCAGGCGGCTAGCTGCGGGGCGGGCTGGCCTTGATTTTGGCCTGGCTTGGCTTGGTTTGGTTTGGTTTCTTTCGGGCTGGGCGCAATCATATGTGCCACTTGAGAAATGCCATTTGTTATGATAAATGATTATGTTGTCAGTTGCCCCGCTGTCCGCTGTCCGCTGCCAGTTTATGGCGGTCAAATTGACGCGGCCTCTAACGGGACGCGTGTGTGAAGGTCACCGAAAGGCATTTGTAGAGTAATTGGCTCGGCCTTAGCTTAAAGCCAACTTAAGCCATGGCTGGTCTTTAAACTTTGCATTCATCGATACTTATTTCGCATTGTGCTCCGATTGAATTTGTTGTCTTGTGCTCCAGCTCTTTTGTGCGTGCGGTGTAAGCTGCTTCTATTTGGAAAGGCCGCCTTTGGCAAATTTAACCCTTCACTTCATTAAACGTATTTTCCAATCCTTTTGGGCGGCACAAATCACTTTGCCGCAGATACTCACAAAAGCCAACGCCCAAGCTAAGGCGGCTTGGGGGTGTGGCCATAGAAATTTGACAAGCAGCCAAACAAAAGCCTAATCGTGCAGCTGCTGCTGCTGCTGTTGTTCCCCCAATCCCCCTCCACCCTCCTCTCGACCACCTCGGCCACACCTTCCAATTTCTGAGGAGCTGCCGCCTTTTGCCTGTAATCCATCAAGCGGCTTCCATTCGGGATTCGGGCCTCTGTCACCTCAACAACAGCAACAATAGTCAGCAGGAGTCGGGGCTTGTATTTGGTGGCTTAGGCTTGGAGTAGAGGGAGGAGCTGAGGTCCAAATGGGAGCAGAAAATTGTTTTCCACTCTTTGGCTGTCGTCATGCCTTTGTCTGTTGTTATTCCTTGTTCCTTATTGCTGTTGGTCTTGTTATTTTTGTTTTGTTATTATTGTTGTTTTTGTTGTTGTTGGGGCATTAAGTATTTAAGCAGTTAGCCGGCAGGTCGGAGATGGATAGTCCGCTTGTGGAGTCTATAAGTCATTCCAGTTGACAT